AACAAAGAAAAATCATCCCTCTCTTAAATTTAATATTGGGATATTTATAAGAAATGACATAAAATTACCCTAAAATTACAATTCTACTTAGACCTGGCAAACGGGAGGGTTGGGTCGAGTTAGAACAAGTAACAGGTCAAAACGGGTTGGGTTAAAATGGGTTACAGGTCAATGAAGGCAGACCTTAACCTACTCATCACGGGTCATGGGTCAACTCGCGGGTTGACTTAATTAAATTTTTTTTCTTTTTTTTTTTCTATAATTTGTACCTATTATCATTCAAAAAAAATTATTCAAAAGATTTAAAAAAGAAATCCAATATCTTACAAAAATAACTTACCTTTGTCATTCAAAAAAAATTATTCAAAAGATTTAAAAAAGAAATCCAATATCTTACAAAAATAACTTACCTATTGTCATTCAAAGAAAATTATTCAAAAGATTTAAAAAAGAAATCCAATATCTTACAAAAATAATTTGTTTCCATTAATTTAATATATACATATTTATAATTCCTCAGAATCACCTTCTTTATTTCCCTAGTAGTAGCATAACAACCAAAAAACACAAACCCCATTGGAACATATTTGTTTTGGTCGTTGCTTTCAAAGAATAATCAATTGAATGCATCTAAGCAAAGGAGAAAATGAAGTAAAATTTTTACTTGGAATGGAAAGAAAACTAAAAAACATAAATAAGTAAATAACTTACCTTGAAGTCTTTAGAGAGAAAAGTTTGTGACAAAAATAGCACTTGCTGGACTCATAGGAGAAAAAAAGAAAGGGTTGAGTGGACACAACGGTGACTCGACAAAATTAAGATCTAAGTCTAAGATAATGTTAAAAACTAAATAAAAAATGTGGAGTCGAAGCTTGAAAGTCGATAGCTGTATAGACTATGGAGGTTGAAGAATATGAGAAGAGTTTGAAGGTTTGAAGAGTTAGAGTTTTCGAGAGTATTAGAGCAAGCAAGAATAGGAAAAGTTGAGATGTGAGTTATGAGTGGAGTAGGATTATTTTTACTTCTGAAAGATGATGAGTTAAGAGAATCAATTAGTTAATTAGAAAAAATTAGTCAATTATTAGAGGTTTAGGTGGGATTGGGAATTGAAAAACAAAATAAATAAATAATAAATTTAAAATTTTTAAATTTTTAGACGGGTAAACGGGTCAAACCCGTTAACCTAATAAGTCAACTTGTTGTTGACCCGTGACCCGACGAGTTCTCTTAACAAGTCATTAACGGGTCACGGGTCATAAATATAAGACCCTAATCCGTTTTAAACGGATAAGTAATGGGTAAGTTAACGGGTTAAATAAAAAATGGTTAAGTCTAATTCTACTTAGGTTGGTGTTAAAATATTTTAGTTTTAGTGAAATTTAATTTATATTATTTTAATAGAACTTTTTACAAATGTTTTTACGTGTTTTAATTATCATAAAATTTAATTTAAAATATAACAAAATTATGTCAATTATTATATTATATTAAATGTACCTTTTATACTCATAATAAATAAATAAGTTTAACTAGTCTTTTGTTGGTTTGATTTCCCTCTAGCGCGTTAGAAACAAATCTAATTAAGATTTGGTCGTCTGCGAACTGCATAAGATATAGTGGTGAAGTGATGATGAATGACTAATGACGTACATAGGTAAGTGTACTTTTAATAATAGATAAGCATGAATTTATTGTACGAAACACACTATTAGAGAAGAGAGACATTTTTTTTTTTAAACAATTTATCAAAGATAGGCTCGAAACCCGCTAAAAAAGAAGGAACAATGCACCTCAATCTCAGGGGATGTCAAATTGTCAATTGGGGGAAGGGCTAGATGCAAAAATTGGGATAGAGATCACCTTTCGGTGGGTTGCCTTAACCGTATGTGTCAGTAACAGGTAAGCCCGAAGGCTGTTCTCGTCCCTGTCAGGGGAGATGCCAACCATCTCTCCTTTTTATGGACACGAGAAGAGAGAAATTTTTTTATAAGGACAAAATGAATACATATAATATAAATTTTTAAAACAAGTATAATTTAAAAAGTAAAAGATAAAAAGTTATAATATGATAATATTATGATGTGAACTTTTAAGATGTTGAATGTATTTATCAAATAATTTATAAAATTTATTGTAAATAGATATGATATATTAAGTATTTTTCACATCAGAATTCAATTTAAATTAAATTATAAATGATATAATTTAAATTTGTTCTAGAGCACTTTAACCTTACAATTGTTGACGTTTCCCATTATTCAAACTAGTATGATCTTCGTCAAGCAGAAATTCCAAAAGGCATGTTCATTTCAAGCGAATACTAATTAAGGAGTCTATATCAATGTTTGTGATAAAAAATTTTAATTTAAGGTTAAAGTTTGAAATTTAAATTTTTATAATGTAAAATAATTAATTTTTTATTATATTAAAAAATAAAAAATTAA